ATTGACATACCTTTAGCCAGACTAAGAAAAAGAGAGAAGACTCAAATAAATAAAATCAGAGATGAAAGAGGAGACATTACAACTGATACTGCAGAAACCCCAAGTACTATGAGCAACTACATGTCAATAAATTGGAAAACCCAGAAGAAATGGATAAATTCCTACATCCATGCAACCTACGCCTACTAAGACTGAACCGGGGAGAAATTCAAAACCTGAACAAACGGGTAACAAGTTATGAGATACAAGCAGGAATGAAAAGTCTCCCACCAAGGAAAAGTCCAGGACCTGAAAGCTTCACTGCTGAGTTCTACTAAGCATTCAAAGAAGAATTAATACCAACCCTACTTAAACTATTCCAAAACATCGAGAAGAGAATATTCCCAAGCACATTGTATGAGGCCTGTATCATCCTGATACCAAAACCAAAGACACAACAAAAAAAGAAAATGATAAGCCAATATCCCTGATGAACATGAGTGCAAAAATCCCCGACAAAATACTAGCAAATAGAATTCAACAACATATTAAAAAAATTATTCATCATTAGCAAGTGGGATTCATTTCAGGGATGCCAGGACGGTTCAATATACGCAAATCAATCGCTGTGACACATATCAACAGAATGAAGAACAAAAATTTTTATGATCCTTTCAATTGATGCCAAAAAAGCATTTGATAAAATTCAACACCCCTTCAATAAAACTCTCAAAAAAACTGGATATATAAGGAACTTACCTCAACACAGTAAAAGCCATTTAGGACAGACCTAAGCTGGTATCATACTGAATGGTGAAAAACCGAAAGCCTTTGCTCCAAGATCTGGAACAAGACAAGGATGCCCGCTCTCACCACTGTTACTGAACATAGTACTGGAAGTTCTAGCTAGAGCAACAGACAACAGAAAGAAAAAAGGGCATCCGAATTGGAAAGGAAGAAGTCAAATTATCCTTACAGATGCTATGATTTTATATCTAGAGAAACCTAAAGATTCCACATAAAATTTATTAAAACTGATAAATGCAGTAAGGTTTCAGGATACAACATCGACATATAAAATCAGTAGCATTTCTATATGCCAAGAGCAAACAATTTGAGGAAGAAAGCAAGAAATAAGTGTAGCCACCATGGAAAACAGGATGGAGGTTCCTCAAAAAACCTGAAAATACAACCACCATATGACTTAGCAATCCCACTGCTAGGTATACGCCACAAGAAGGGAATTCAGCATATCAAAAAGATATCTGCACTTCCATGTTTACTGCAGCACTATTCACAATAGCTAAGATTTGGAATCATCCTAAGTGTCCATCAATGGATGAATGGATAAAGAAATCATGGTACATGTATACGATGGAATATTATATAGCCACAAAAAATAAAGAAATCCTGCCATTTGCAATGACATGGATGGAACTGGAGAACATTATGTTAAATAAAACAAGCAAGCACAGAAAGACAAATCTCATGTGTTTTAACTCATATGTGGGAGCTAAATAGTAAACAATTGATCTCATGGAGACAGAGAGTAGAATGATGGTGACCAGAGGCTGGGAAGGGTAGTGGGGAGGGAGGGATAAGGTGGGGATGGTTACTGGGTGCAAAAATAGATAGAATGAACAATATTTGATAGCATAATAAAGGGACTATAATCAACAATAAGTTAGGGCAGACTTTAAA